ATTTTTTAAAAAAAAAAAAAAAGGTGTATGAGTATGTGTTATATAAATGAAAGAGGTACTATTAGAACCATTTTCCTGATGAGACAGCTAAGTCTCTAAACGATGCAGTAACTCACCTAATTTCACACCTAGGAAGTACAGAATCCAAATGGATGGTTTGAAACTCTTCTTTCATTTCTTCATGTTGACAATCTTTACAGACAACAAAGCACTAAAAACTAAAGATGTTGCCTTTAAGAATACTAAATGCTGAACAGTTTTATATAAAAGGCAGCAGGAAAGTTTCTTAACTTCACATTTCAATTTAATGTTCAGTAGAATCTCTTTCCTTTGAGGTGAAACTAAGCACAAAAGGAAAATACAGATAAATTTCTTGGACGTTACAGAGAACCAGAATTTTACTTACCATACTGAGCTAAAAATGGGATGGGCTACTTGTAAAAGTGGCATGTTTCTCATCCTCACACACAATTGTGGAAGGGTTAGATAGTCCAATGTCAAGGATCAACACATAGTTTCCAGTCCTACCACCAGAGACACTCACCACTTTTACAATAAAATAACCTAGATCCAAGTTGGCAGATTAGGTGGGACCCTATTCTACCTATATATCCACATCCACACAAGAATTACTGAGAAACTATCATTAAAAAGAGCCTCTGTGTGGAAGAAGTGTCACAATGTGAATGATGTGGCTGCTCCTCATGTAAAGAGCGCTGGATCTCTCATCCATCCCAGCGAGATGGCAAAATACACAAGAGCAGCTCCAAGCCCAGAGCAATCTCACCTCTGCAGCATGACCATGCAAAATCTGCTGCAGAGCATTCTATATGAGATGTACCTGACCACTAGTTTCAGAGAAGGGAAAAAATGATTTTCTACTGGTATAGCACCAAGCTATTTCTATAAGATGAAGCTAAATAATAAAGGAAACTACAGTAATAAAGGAAGCAAAATGTTTGATCAATTCCCTGAGCTTGGTGTTAGTACTGGTCTTATTTAGCATTTTCATAAGTGAACTGAAAAGTAAATCTTCATATTTTCCAGAGAATTTTAAATTTTGCAGCTAAAAATATATTTATCTGTGTAGAGAGGATCAAAATAATTTCTGAAAACTTTGTGGATGGGCAAAAAAGCAATAAATGCACTTCAAAGGTAAGAAAAGACTTGCAGAGATTTTTTTTCCTTTTTTTAATTTTTATTGACTTTATTGGGGTGGCATTGGTTAAGATATTGCGGAAATTTTTAAATATATGCATTTTATATAATGTATATTTATGAGATGGGTTCTGTAATACAGTGTGAAATAAGATCCAAAAACATAGAACCTTCGGTGAAGATATCAACTAATGGGCTGCTACAGATAAAAATACTGAGCCTCATCAAAAGGAATATTTTAAATATGATAGGAGAAGGCATTTGATCTTTTAAAACTAGAATATGCCTAAAACTAGAATAATAAATATAGTTCTAGTCACTACACCTTAGGAAAACCTTAATGGGCTATAAATGGATAGCTTACTTATATAATGTATACCACATATAATTGTTATTATTATATAAAAGTGCAAATAAATTTCTATCGTGCAAAGAAAAGAGTGTAAAGCTCTTTAGGCTGTAAAACGAAATCTTAGTGGAGATATTACTGGTCAGTCTACAACACAACACAGGCGTTCTGATTTCAGTGAGTGACTCTTAAACCACTACATGTGAAACACAAACCTATTTTTAACGACAAGAGAAATGATACTTGAACTCAAAAAAAGGTAGGTTTAAGGTAAATAAAAGTTAATATAAAATGAACTAAGAACCTTGAAATCTGAAAACAAAACTTTGACTCCTAGAAGACAAAACACATTTAAAATATAAAAATAGAATTAGGAAGCTTTTTTAGAGTTGCACAGAAAACAGCGTAAAGCAGGGAAAGTAGGGTAATTTGTGGCAGGTAAATCTCTGGCCTGAGCCCTACCTGTGGAAGGTCAGCCACAGCCTCCAACAGAGCTGCATTAGTGCCCTGACACACAGACAGACAGACAGAGGCTGCAGAGCAGGATGGCCCTCTGGCCTCACCCCGGTGGCACCCAGTCCTCCTGCCATGGGGATCATCAGCTCTGTGTCCACCTGCGCAGGCGTCTCCTGGGGGCGTCATAAGCCTCCACAGGGCAGAGAACAGATCTTCCCCAACTTGCTTGGCACATCATCTAGCTCAGTGCCAACACACAAGGTTTTTGATAAATTTTAATTATTCTGATGTTGCCATTTCCCTCAATTTCGCAACCTCGTACACCCAGACGGTCTACTTTTGGGAATAAGAATGTGTTTTTGGTCTATTTTCTGTTCACTGCTGCTAAGAATTCGGCTGAATGCATGGCTTTATGACATTGTTTTGAATAGGGAATCTCAGTAAAATATTCTTCGGGAAAATACCAACTCTAAGGTTAACAACTGTTCATTTTTCCTGAAGGTTCTGCTGAAGAATTTGTTCTGCTTGGGCAAGGGATGGTGCTCGCGGGTTTTCTTCACACACACAACCTGCCCTTCTGAATGCGTCGAGCCTTTGTTCAGCTGCCGTGTTCCTGCAGCCAGCCTCGTGCTGCTGGGCTCGCGTCACAGAGCATCTGGCGTGGAACACAATCCCTGTCCGTTTCCAGACATTAGTTAACTGGAAAAGGAATGTCACACGCCATCTCCTTCCCTCCTCCCACGTACTTTCCCTTCCCGAGGATAGGCCCCTCCTCAGCAGAGCACAAAGGAGGTTATTCAGTGGAGAGCTGGATCAAGTGGACGTCAAGGCTCACCTTTATTACATCCATTAAACACAGTGTTCCATCCCAGTTATCAAGCAGCTTTGTCCCAAAAGGGAGACTGTGTCTCTTGCTGTGAAAATGGTGCACTTTAAAATCATATTATTGGTTTTTCTATTCTCCTAAGAGTAAATAATCAGCATTTGTCTAGACTGGTTTGGAGACAGGGTGACTCTCAAGAGTTTTCACAAAAGCTAGGTCACTTGGAATCCTTGGCTGAAGTTGTATGAGGTGGGAGAGAAAACACAGTTCTACTATAAGCTCAGAAATAGCAAAGCCTACTCCAATTTAATTAGAAATCAAAATTTCAAAGAGCTGCTGATGTGCATACTAATTGCTTTCTTTCTCTAAGCCATCACTTGCAGCTACAAATTTCCTTTCAGATAAATTGGTTGTCTTGCACAAACATGTCCATCATTTAATGCCTCTGACAATGATCCGTCACCGCTTGATAAGCCACAGCCACGCTGCAGTGAGTCCCTTCTTCACGTAGTCTTACCCAGTTTCATTCTTGTCTCCATCTCAAAACAAGCTCTTTATACTCAGTATATATAGCAGTGACCATTCTTCCTTAGGTTTTCATTTTTTAATCTGTGTTTATTGATTTTAGAGAGAAGAAGGGAGAGGGAGGGAGAAAGAAACATAGATTGGCTGCCTCCTACACACCCCCTAATGGGGATCAAGCCTGAAACTTGGGCATTTGTTCTGACCTGGACAACACTCAACCAGCTGAGCCACACCGGCCAGGGCTTCCTTAGGTTTTTATCTGTCTTTTCCCCTAGATGAACAAAGAGCAAGGATCAGGTCTCTTCTCTATATGACACTATTCCAAATAGTGCATTGGTCTACCACGGTGCCTTGCACATAGGTTAGCTTCTTGCGTTATATTTTCTTAACTTCATCTAAAGAAAACTCACGCCTTCCAAGACTTGACCACAGCATGCCTCTCGGTCTACATTTCAGCTTTTCAGAAAAATGTCAGAAAAACAAGAGTAGAACTTAGGTACATACACATTAAGAACTAATGAGAAATGCTACATGTTGACAACTGAGTTTTTTTAATATATTCTAGAACAGATGAGTGGCTGTAACTATTTAAAATGCTGAACATTCAAAATTGGTTCTGTAAGGGACTAAAGTTTTGCCTCCCTGAAGATGCCGTTTTGAGATATTTATTTTAAGCTGTTTATTAAGGGAAAAAAAAAAAAAAAGACTCAGAAAGAACGTTGGCCTTTCCTATTTTCCTGCCCAAGAGATTCAGATAGAGAAATCTGCTTCAGGAAAGAGATTTTAGGATGTCATCTTAACCTAATTTGAATTAAGTGTGGTAAATAGGAGGGCTTCGGCCAGGGGCCTGTTAGCTAGATACCCGCTGTGTTCCACAGTTTCTGACAAGAAACTTGCCTAACAAGAACTTGTCCGTCATGTGTTTTCCAGCCCATTCTCACTTCTATAATCTAATACCCCTTTTTCCCACCTTTTCTTCTTTGTCCAAAATGTCATATATGCCCAATTTTGCATCACTGTTTTGGAATTTCCATGCTTATGTGAATTCCCCAAGTGCATGTATTAAAATTTTATATTCTCCTGTTAACCTGTCTGTTAATTTGATATTAGCCCAGCTAGAAGAACTGAGGAGGTGGGAGGAAAAGTATTCCTTTTTTAGCCCCCACAGTTCTCAACTTTAATTATTTAACCTCAAAGCTTTTTTATTAGAATGAGACAAACGCTTTGAGGGAAACAAAAATTGTGCTCTTAATAACAATCAAAATAGCCATAAAAAATTTTATAGCATCCTTATGTTTCTGAAAGTCAGTGCTTAATGAAGTTATTTTAAATGGTTATTAAAACTAAGTGAGCTTTCCTAATGCAAATTCTGAATTTAGTTTTTTATTATATTTTATAAACTCAGTATGTAGTAGAGAAGAGAGTTTCTTCACAAACTTCTCCAAAGCAGACATAAAACAAATACAGGCATGCTGCCCTTATTCATACTGCCACTCGAATAGTTGACATACAATAGAAAGCTTTGCTGTCAGTATTTTGGTAAATAACATTTTAATTATTAACTTCATACCTCCTGCAGAAGGTCCCCTTCATTATTCATCTCACTTTTTTATTTAAGTCGCCCCTGGAAATCACAATATCCCCAACCAATGCATTCAACGTGTATTTATATGTATACCTGAAACAAACACTGTTGAAGATGAATTCCACAGAGGCTCTTTCCAGAGGGGTCTGGCAGGTAATAAAAGATAAACGCCCAACTCTGATGTGTCATGCCCAAGGCACAGTATTCAGGAAACACACTAGAAGAGTCGAATGACAAATGCCCATTTATGCCTCACTCCCTACAAACAAAGGCATACAAAGCTTCAAACTGCATTGATTGACTTTTTCTCCAACATACTGAATTTTTGTTATATAACAATTGTATTCTGGAATGAAATCTATTGTTAGAGTCAGATGAGGAACACTTATTAGACAATTGTGCAATCAAAGCCCACAGACAACAGCACAAATGGAAAAATACAGCTGTCAGTGACCCAGATTTTTACCAGTGTCAAAGATTTACTCATTTGTAATTCCCATTTTTATTTTCTTTTTTTAGGGTCCCTTCTGGCCTCTAAATTAATTCTGGTCATTTGTTATATAACTGAAGCCGCTATTCTTTAGCCTTTCCAATTCTCCAAATGTTCGTTTCTGACAAAGCCCAGCCCTTCCCAGCTAGCCACAATGAGCATAGAATTATCCACAGGCTGCCCTACATGGTCCCCTAACAACCTTAACTCAGTCAGAGGAAGTAGGGGAGGCTTTCTCAAAGGGCGTTCAAAATTATGCTTCTGCTGCCTTCAATTGTGACTTCAAGTGCAGTTGATGGGGGAGGGGAGGGGAAGAGAGGGGAGAGGCTTTTGTCTGAATCAAATCAAATTCTCTAAGCATTTTCCGTGTATGAGCGTACAGTCTCCATAGCTGATCACTTCTATCTGGGACCTGTAGGCCTGAGGAAGCCCAGGCTGAATACTAAGAGAAAAGTACTGTCAGATATTTTCAGGACAAAAGGCCGAAGAAATATTTTCAAGAAAAATAAATGAATAAAATACCTCTTGTGTTGAAATGTTTGGGGAATAATTGAGATTGAATTTCTAATATATACATAGGATACTAAGTAACTGGACAAAAGGCAATTATTAACTCTATGGTAACCAAAAAATTACATGGGCATGGAAAAATAATAGTATAATAATACTACATGGCTGAACTGTGAATAGTTTTACATAATCATAATAATGTAAATACTAAATATAGATCATATTAAAGTTACAATAGTATTTTATTAAGAGGATTAGGATAATCAAAAGTGTGCTTGTGCATTCAGGGAAAAGGGAGAGAAAAAAGTTAAATCCTCATTTATTCAATGTGAGAAGTCAACAATAGTAATGTAAGTGCAACTTTTATAGATACTGAGTTAAAACAAAAAGATCCACCTCAAGAAATTGAGAATTGGTTGCCTTGGGAGGAGAAACAGCCATGAACTCTTTAAACTATAGGGATATATAATGTTAATTAACATGAGAATGGAAGGAGGGAAATGAATTGTTTATATTCTTTCTTCAAAAAGTTATTCTTTCTGCTGTTGTATTTACTTGATCTTTTATTTTTTCTTTCTTTCTTTGATAATGTCATATTTAATTTCTCAATAGGTATACAGTTAGTCACTCTATCCTCTGGCCTTCCCAAAACTTTACATAACGCTTACCATGCTGTACTGTTTTTTTGTCTGTCTCTATATCTCCCACCTAAGCTATGAAAGCCTAGAGGGTTTGGATTCTGTTTTGTAACTCAAGCCTGTTGCATAATAAGAGATCAGTATACTTTTGTTGAATGAGTGAATGATGTCTGAGAGAGATTAAATTTTATTACCTGGGAGAAAAAATGCCCACATTCTATTATAAGAATTAAGTATGTATTGCCAAAGAACATATAGTCTCTTATGCCATCCTAAATCAAATTTTTATGATGGCTTAGTTTCAAGTGATATCCTTTATGCTGCTGTCAATCAGCCCAGCCACTGAAGCTCTCACGAGTGCTCTCTTTCTGTTAGGTAAAGGACTGAAAACATCTATTATCAGACGTCTTCACCCATAAATAACAATTTATATTCATGATTATTTTTTAGGTAAAGTCAAAGCCCTCACACAATTTATATACCAAACACTGAAATGTTCTGTGACTAGATTGTTGATTTCAGAAAGTCATCTATATTGTATATGCCTGTTCAAGGTTTGTCGAAAATCAGTCTAGGCGTGCTCAATTAAGAATGATTCACATGGAGCATTTAATACATAAAGAATATGGAAGGTAAAGGTGCAATAGAAACTCTGAGCAAACAGTCTGGAAATTGTCTGAATTTTGCTCCTTCCGTTATGCTAGCTTTTTTGTATGTATGGACATGCATATTGCCCATATTTAAATAGCGTTTTAAGAAGAAATTGTAAGTTATCTCTGAGCCTCCTGGTGGTCTTCCTTCATTGTGTCTCTTTACTTCTTTTTGTTTGTATCTTGGAAAAATGGCTCTTGGATTTTTAAGCAGAATGTGACTATTCATCCATAAAATGTAAACAGATTTAAAAACTCAAAAAAAAAAAGAATGATTCTCAAACTGAACACAATATTCCTACCACATTTCCTCCTAGATAACAGACAGAATTAAAGATAAGTTGTATTTCTTGCCTGACTCTAGATGACTTATGAATAATTTTATTCTGCAAAACAGAAAGAATTCTAATCTATATACAAAATAAAAATAAAACTAAATCCAACAAGGATATTAAACACTAGCATAATAATGCCTAAACTCATTTGAAAAATTGGTTTCCATTGTTTACTGGCTGTTACAAAGGATAATCTAAATGGTATATACCTCATGTCCATTGGTATGCTTTATGTTACATCACAAAAAAACTGTTGGCATCATAAATTTTAAAGTAATATGTCTCTATTAAGCAAACATACTTTAGAAAAAGAAACAAATGAAAAAAAACTTTCAAAAATACCTTTTTCTGCTCTCGCCGGCGTGGCTCAGCGGTTAGAGTGTCAGCCTGGGCACCGGAGGGTCAAGGGTTTGATTCCCAGTCAAGGGCAAGTACCTGGGTTGCAGGCCCGATCCCTGACCCAAGTCAGGGCATGTGTGGGAGGCAACAAATCTCCACATCCAGGTTTCTCTCTCCCCCCTTGCCCCCTCCCATCCATTTTCTCTAAAAATCAATGGGAAAAATATCCTCACTCCTCAGGTGAGGGTTAAAAAAATAATAATAATAATACCTTTTTCTTTGGCTCATTAATTGAGCTTCTTCAGTGAAAGCCCTGGTGCCAAAACAATGTGTATCAATCTCTTCTCTTTGGAACTGTGACCTAAATAAAGCTGGAACGTCCACACTGCTTCCTCTGTTCTAGTTGTAAAAGTTTATAATTATAACAAGAGCTTTACAAAATTAACAAATATTTAGCACTGCTACATTACTGTAGCGGATAAAATAGTACACACTTATGTAGTTAGTGTGTACAGATGAATTTGTAAATGCTTCACAGCTACTTATTCATTTAATCTCCCGAAAAACGAGGGACTACTATTACTACTCCCATTTTACAGCTGGGCTGAGGCACAGAAACCTTAAATGACTAGCTAAGGACCCACAGCTTGTAAGTGGCAAAAGGAGGATCTGAAATTCAATAGGCTGGACCACATCCACACTCTCAACCAGAAGGGCAAGATGGGAGGGAATTCATGTTTTTTAAAAAAATGCAGCACTTAAGAAAACATAAATATATAACTTGTCCCTTTGCATTTGTGAGAGCCTATCTGATGCCACATGGTTAAAGAAAACTCTGCTGGTCTTATTTCTTGTTCTAAAATTGTCTGATCTGAATGGGGAATTTATTTGACCACTTGCAACAAAAATCAAATTGTCAATTTATTTTAGAAGGTTTTTAGTTTTTAGGAGTGGTGTTTGATATCATATATTAGTATTCCTAAATACTGAAGGCTTCAGATAAAAGTAGTAATGGTTCTTCACATGTAGAAAGTGAGTGATAGATGAAGGTTTGAGTAAAGAGAAAAACTTTAAAATGGTATTTATAGAGAATTTAAGGCCAAGATGTATTTCACGTTTTTGTCTCATCTTTTTCAAAAAAATTTTATTTGATTTTTTTCTCAATTTTTCAAAGAAAAAGAAAAACCCTTGAAGGTGAAGGAATGTTTAAAAGAAACTATTTCATATAATTAACATGTGCATGTGAATTGAAGAATAAATCCAAGACAAGCAAACCCTCGTGCACAGTTGGTGGGATTGCATATTACTGCAGCCACTATAGATGTTCCTCAAAGAATTAAAAATAGAACTACCATATGACTCAGTGATCCCACCTCTGGGTGTCCATCCAAAGAAATTCAAAATACAAATTCAAAAAGATACATGCACCCCTATGTTCATTAAAGCATTATTTACAATAACCAAGATTTGGAAGTAACCTAAGTGCCCACCAATATATGATTGGATAAAGGAGAGGTGTACATATATACAATGGAATATTACTCAGCCATTAAAAAGAATAAAATCTTACCATTTGTAACAACATGGATGTACCTAGAGAGTATTATACTAGGTGAAATAAGTCAGACAGAGAAAGACAAATACCATATGCTTTCATTTATATGTGGAATCTAAAAAAAGCAAAACACAAAATAAATGAACAAGATAGAAACAAACTCATAGATACAGAGAACATGCTGATGGTTGTCAAATGGGAGGATGTGGTTGGACAATGAGTGAAAAGGTGAAGGGATTAAGTGCAAATTGGTAGTAAAGTACAGCATAAGGAATATAGTCACTAATATTTTAATTACTATGTATGGTGCCAGATGGACACTAGACTTATCAGGGCATCACTTTGTAAGTTATATAAATGTCTAACCACTAAACTTTACACCTGGAACTAATGTAATAGTGAATGGCAACTGTAACTTAAAAATTTTTTATTAAAAAAAATAAACCAAAAATAAACCTGAGTTTTTAAACCAAGAACATCATAGAACTTTTTTTGTATAGGCCATACAGTAAATATTTCAAGCTTTGTCGAGTCACATGGTCTCCATTGAAAGTATTTAACTCTGTCATTGTAGGATGACAGCAGCCGTAGACAATATGTAAACAAATTACCGTGGCTGTGTTTCAATGGAACTTTCTTTACAAAAACAGGCAGCAGACTAACCAGTGGCCA